ACAAAACCATGTTTCAGCTCATTGACCAATCTCAAATAAGCTTCGGAAGCACATAGACCTCAACCATGTCTTACCAAAATATGCCAATTCCTTCCGTCAATATATCACTCAGAAAAACCAAAATACCAAATACGGCAAAAGAGACAAAGGTTAAAAACCCGGCGCATATTTCAACGCCAGAGGAAACTTTCACCAATTAAGCCGTTTCTCAAACAAAGAGACAACATCAATTTCTTAGCAGCCCCTGGCCACAATATCTCCCAAAACATAAAAACTTAACAGCCCTCCTGCTGCAATAACTCCCGAAACAGAAAATGCAAGCCATCCAGTATTTCGTCTGGATTGCAAGAAACAGAATACAAAACATATACCGATTGACNCCGTCCTACAGCAATACATGCAAGGCACAACTCTCGAATACTAACAACGAGACAACAAACAAATATCATGACCTTATCTCCGAAAGCCGCAGGTAAAACGGGGAAAACGTTTACAAAATGAACAAAAACCAAACCCGAACGTCTGCTAGAACGCTGCTTGTACTGCGACGAGGATCATGGCATCACAATCACATTCATCCCCCCCCATGATTTTCGACAGCAGTGCTAGCAGTGGTCCAACGATGTCAACTGAACCATTCGGCGTGCTGAATTCTTAGATTATCCAAACTCAATGCCCAACATATGAAAATCACAATGTAACCAACCATGCGCATCGCAACTCTAAGTCTACGTCGACACAGTTCTCAAACTCATGGTTTTCGACAAACAAAACAAAACCAAACCTAGAAATAACCCAAACACAATAATTCTCACAAACGTGCCTGAACCGCGCGTAGATCCAGAGCTGCGTCGTTGCAACCATCGGTCATCCCCCACTGGAGCTCCCGATCACCAAGTCTCTTACTTCCTCCCTTGGAGATCCCGATCACCAAGTCTCTCATGTCATGCCGCACACTTCTGCCACGATCGATCCTCCCTTCCTGGCATTACCCCCCATCGTCCCGCACGACGTAGATGCCATTGCTCACGGTCGGATGGGCGCCGGGATGCCTTGCACCGGCGGACAACGCCCCGATGCCGCCGTCACCGCTGCCGTCGCTACTGTTGCCACCTTCGTCGCCATGGCCCAACCAACAGCTATCCTCATCGCACTCGTCCTCCGGCTCTTGCGCTGCTGACGCTTTAGCCGCAATTCCCTGCGTCCCAACCGGCTCCCACACCGCCGCCGCGGGCAAGACTCTGCTGCCGGCGGTCGCCGCTCTCGCCGCCGGTGCTGCCGTCCATGCCGTTGCTCCCGCCGCGAGTGCCTGCGCCCCGGCCGTCTCCCCTGCCGCCGCCGCGGGGAAGATTCTGCTGCCGGGGGTCGCCGCTCTCGCCGCCGGTGCTGCCGTCGATGCCGCTGCTCCCGCCGCGAGCGCCTGCCCCCCGACCGTTCCCCCCGCCACCGTAGTGGGGAAACCACCATCAACGGTCGCCGCTCCTGCCGCAGGTACTGTTCCCCATGCCACCGCGCCAGCTGCAAACACGGGGAGCATCGCCTCCTGTCGATGCCTTTGCCTCCTCCAGCGTCGTCGCTTCCGCTGCTGGTGCGGCATAGCGTCCTTGCCATTCGCGTTGAGACCCTCTCCGTCACCGACGGGCACGTGCTGTTGCATGCGGTCGATTGTG